GTGTAGTTTTTATATTCTATCTGTAGTTTCTATGGTTTAGGTGTAGTTTCTAGAATCTATGATTTAAAAACCTTTAGAAATTTCTAGTGACTTTACCTTTATATAGAGTAGAGTTGTATTTGGGCCTAAAAAGTAGTAAAGGCTGCACAGAAATCTGTTTGAGTCAGTCTACCCACCATCACAGACATCTACACCTCTATATGCAGGAAGAGGGCCACCTGCATCATGAAGGACTCCACTCACCCAGCACACACACTTTTTGCCCCGCTCCCCTCAGGCAGGAGGTTAAGGAGCATGAAGTGTAGAACCACTAGACTGAGGAACAGCTTCTACCCTGAAGCTGTTAGACTCTTGAATCTCTAATAATCACTGTGAAAAATCACATCATGTTGCTGCTGATCAGTTTCATGTTGCTGCTGATCTGTTTCATGTTGCTGTGTTCATTCATGCTTATCTGCTCACACAGACTCGTGTTCGTGCTGCTGTTCTGCGTATTGTGTTTATTGTTTTTATGCTATTGGTGCTTAGCGTATTTGTAGTTAATGTTTCCTTAGTTCATATCTTAGATGTTATCATTGTTTTTCTTTTACATTTTATTGTTGGATGTAACTGGGACCCTGCGTACACAATTTCGTTCCACCACGTGTACCACATGTGGTGCATATGACAAATAAAGAACCTTGAACCTTGAAAAAAATCCGATCCGACCTGGCCCCAGCCCATAGCCATTATTTCCAAACCCGACCCGATGAATTAATTGTAATTAAATCTCTGAACCTGAAAAACCCCCAGACATTTTTAATTAAACTTTTACTGCTTTTGTAAGCAAATCAGTTTGACATGATTTTAAAACTTATTTCAAAGAAAGGAAGATATAAGAATTCTTGTTTATTATCAAGAGTCAGCAGATTATTAGTTATTATAATATTATAGTTATTATAGTTATTAATTGTCAGTGGATGCGACTGAGTAAAAGGGTGCAGAAGATGGATCGGAGCTGGGGGGGTGTTTGTCCGTTTCATGGCCGTCAAAGTGCATTAAATCTCTGCTTCTGCCTGCATTCTGCATTATTCAGACATGGACCCTGCTCTGACATGTCTGCGAGGATATTTTGGGATCTCACCTGTTTTCAAACCCATTCGGCAAATTGGGTCTTCGGCTGCGCACGTCGGCTGACTCAGCGGTTGAGTCCATTTGGGCTTTGGATGGATCGCCGGCAGTTGTTCATCTGAAGCTTAACTGAACATTTTTTAACTTCTTTCAACTGTCCGGTCAGCACGCAGTCAAACGGCCCGCGTCAGCTACGCGCATCCATTGACTCAATCAAAAGCCCAACACTGACCCGGCCTGCCCAACCAGCACATTATTATGGCCCGGTCCAGCCTGAATTAGGGCCGGGCTTCGGGCCCGGGTTAGAAATGACAGCTCTAATATAGAGCCTTGTGATCTGCTGTACATTTTGGTTGTGTCAGGACCAAAATCACTTGGATTTAATTCAAGATGCCTGAGGTGTGGTTTAAAAGCTGTCTTTGTTTTTCGCTCATCAGCCTCCCAACATCATGTTCGGAAAAGATGAAAAGGTGAAGATTGGAGACTTTGGATTGGTCACCATCGACACCAACGTCGGCGATGAAAACCTGATAGATAGAACTCAAGGACCAGGAACCAAATCCTACATGGCTCCAGAGCAGGTGAGCTAAACAACAATTCAGTTCAATTCAGTTTATTTCTATAGCGCCAAGTCGCAACAGAAGTCATCCTCAGATTTTAAGGTCACAACTTAGTTGAGCCTTAGATTCAAGCTTTATTTGATAGTATTTTACATACCATACGTTTATATTTCATTTATTGAAGTTAAGGTGCACACAACCGTTCAGTTACGGTGAGAAAATGTGTCAGAATTTATAAAAATATTTCAACCTTTTGGGTTGAAGAGTAATATTTAGTAACATAACTGCTCTACTATGACCCTTTTTTTTTTAAACTTCGTTTAATTTTTATGTCCAAACAGAAGGAGAGTGAATATGACCGGAAGGTGGACATGTTTGCTTTGGGTTTGATCCTCTTTGAGCTCCTGTGGAATATTTCCGCTGTGACCTACCACGAAAGAGCAAAGGTGAGTTTTTTGTAAATAAGAACTTTATTTTGATCTTCTACCGTCTTATCACCAGCAAACTGGTTGGTCCACTAAAGGAGTGCACTGCTTAGCGGGGAAAACAGTCTACTTGGGACTCCTCAGACTGATGAAGCCCTCTGGATAGAGGGCGAAACGTCTTTCCACAAAAAAGAAACTGTCCAGATGACCTGACTGACCATTATTGGATTTTTGTACCTGGATGATTGAGCATGAACTTTGATAACTTTATTTTCAGTTTTTTTAATTACTACCTACAACTACTGTATATTACTGTGTTACATCGGATCCTATTTACATTTACTTTACAAAAATATAGAGCTAACCTCACCTTTCTATCAATCTTTTACTTTTTTCTGTATTTGTAATCCTGTATTTCTTTTTGGTATTCTTTTAAACAACCAAATCAGTTTTCTAAACCAAACAAACGTGCTCTTTTTTTCTTTCTTAAATTTGTTGTGACGACTAGATCTGGGAGGACTTAAGAAGCAAGAAGTTTCCCGAAGAGTTTTCAAAAGTTTTTCCCCGAGAGGTAAATAAACTAATCTTTCTATACCTGCTGATTTATAAGCTAAATAAAGTTTAAATAATGTTGGAGCGTAATTATGTTCATTATGCTCCGCGCATCTCATTCTTCTTTATTTTTGCTTTTCAGTACATGATAATTAACTCTTTGCTGTGTAAGAACCCGAATGATCGACAGGAAGCAACTGACCTGAAGTCTGAGCTGAAAAAGTTAAACAAACAAGAACGCCCTAATCGTGAAAATCGCACCGTCTGAATGTGGGCAGAGGCTCAGACTGGTCCTGAGGAGGAGAAATGGAGACCTCGGGTGGTTTAAACCTCAGAAGGTCTTGTGGGGGGGGGGACAGCCTCTCACAGGGAGTGAGGAAACAAAATCTATTAGTCACTTTGCTTTGGGAAAAATGCACCCATCATTATAAATGCCGTTTTTAAATCCTATATTTATCTTATATAAAAATGCATTCATTTCCATTACAAGTTTTTACTTCCATCCCTTCAATATGTTCTCTACAGTCTATATTTGGGTTGGAAAAAGAAAGGAACTTTTCTCCACTGCTTTGCTAATTTTAGATGTAAACCACTTTTAGACTCCTCCAGGTAGAGAATGCCATGATGGTGATGGCATTTTTAATGTAACATGTCATATTTAACATGTACACACATGTTCCTGTTTACATTTGTCCGATTGAAGCCAACCCGACCACGAGTTGAATCCAACGTTCACGTTTCTCTCCCTGAGTAGTGGTAAATGGCTTTGGAATACGGCAGGAACCCTAACCCGCATGTCAGAATCAGAATAAGCTTTATCATCATTGTACCGAAATACAATGAGATTATGTTCGTACAGTCGTCCGAAAGATGGGTGTAGTGCACGTTTCTGCTGCTCCTTGAGAGCGCGGCCTGTTATCCTTTTTCAGAATACTTTTTAGATAGAAAAGGGGAAAAAGCCATGAGGAGAAGATAGTGGTATTACAAAAAAAGATCTCTTCACATCTTGTCCTATCAGGACACAATTTAAGACATAAAAAACTCTACCAGCCAGCACATTTATAAACACATTACATATGCATTTGACACAAGATGGTGAGATTTGTCCATGAAGCACTTCCAGATAGAACATAGTCCTGATAAGATGTTGGTCAGCCGGTATAGCTTTGATAAGCATTCACAGAAGTTCTTGGGGGGGATGTGATAGACATAGCTTTCCTTAGTTTATGCATATCCCAGGAGAAATTTGATGTCGGCCTGCTTCGAGGCCAAACGGTGAGTCAGATTCAGATAAGCCACAATTGTAGATTTTTATGGCAGACTGTTTTTTTTTCTTGTCAGCCTTGAGTTCTGCTGGTACTTTCAAGATCCAAAATGGCCAGCTTTGTGGGCATTCCACTGGTCCGTGCTTATGAGCCCCCTCCAAGGTCATTCCCAACATGCTGGCAAGTCCCAGAAGTCGCAGGTGGCCTGCGATTCTCGCAAATCACTTCCATCTTACAGTTTAGCTCATAAATCGGCTGATTTTGAGTACTCGAAGCACGAACCAAACCTTCATACAGACTCTGCAGTTTTGCCATGGCCGAAACTGCTGCTGCCGTCTTCTTCAATAGCCGATAACAAACAAATCCGCCGATGCCAAAAAGCAGAAATCCTGCTATCATGGTTCCAATTATATAAACATCTTCGCATCCTCCTGAGACAATATGGGAAGGCACATCCGCTCCCAAACTCCCATGTTAGAGCCAAAATGACTGTTATGCATTATCAAAGTCAAAGTCTCCTTTAGTGTCAATTCTATCATATGTTCAAACATATAAAGAATCAAAATTACGTTTCTCGCCATCCCCCGGTGAAACTAATAGCTTAAAAACATCACATCACAACAGTTAAGAACAAATAGTAATAAAGTTTTTCTATTATCCATAAAAACACAATAATGCATAAAAATCTCATTGTTTAACTGTTATGGTAGCACAGGTGTTCAGATTTGTCCTACCCTTCAGGTAATTGCATGAGGGGTGTGGTCACATGTTACTTAGCTGATTTGGGTCATGGCATCAGGTGCGGGGTCGGTAGGGGTTTTTTGTCAACTTTTCTGTTCACCGTCATTATTTTGAGCGTCACTATTTTGATCAATACCTTTATCATTTTCAGTCATACAAGCGATGTAAATCAGTACAGGCATTGTTTGATGGCTGGCAAAAGTTCATCGTGTTAGTTTTAAAATAAATACACAAAACACAATTTGGACTCAGCGTGGCTCATTGGAGACGCGTCACAGAGCAAAACCTACTCTGCCAGAAGCGGCTTTCTTTTGTGGATCGAAGTCGCTACGCCGCATATGAGGCTTGTCAGCATATCAGCTGTCACTGTTGCAAGTCCCGTAGAAACAATGCCTCCGATATAATAGCTGGAATTTTTTGAGCTATGTCCACCCCCAACAATCTAAGTAAACAGCGAGTGGAGCAGGGCTTGTTTATTTAGCGCAGCTGTTAGCAATCATGAAGCTAAGCAAATCAGATCCACTAGTCCCACAGTAGGTTTACAAGTGGTGTACCGGTCATAAAAACAGTCTTCCTAACGTGCGTTCACGTTTTCCATCCTCCACCATAAAGTTATTGAGTGTTACAAAAATATAAACAAAGAAACACCCTTCCCTGTTCATTGTTTAAACAGTCAGTAACGTATGGTGAAGGCCTAATTAGTAATGACCAGCGGAGTTTATTTTTCTTTGCAGAGAAGTAAAGATTTCAGACAAACGATGCGGACGACAAAGATAACGTTACTAACACTGGTATATATTTACCGCTACGTTAGATTTATTGTTCTGGATAAAGTTTTACAAAGCAATAGCTTATGCTAGGTTATCTAAATGTTAGCTTGCTAACTTGAGAGACATGTAGCTAATGACAAGCGGGTTGGAGGATTGAAGAGAATTTATTATTGATGATTTGTTTCGCAGATCAGTTAAAATAAACAGCATGTTCAGTAAAATACGCCGCACAGTATTGCTCCCTGCTTCATCTGTGCTGAAAGTGAAACTTAAGTGAACGGCCATGACTTGAAAGTTGTCTTCATGCACCTTCTGCTGGATACATTGTACAATTAGGGGTGAAAATTAGAAGTGCTTATATCTGTGAATAATGGGACAGTTATCATCGATACAGATAGTTCCCAAACGTCTATATCGGCCTAATCATTGTGTTTCTATATTTTTTTAACAGCCTGTACTCTTTTATCGTTATGGATTTTATTCTGAATGTAAGAGTTCGAGGTATGGATAAACTGTAACTGCACTTGTTGGAAGAATCACACAAGCATAAAGTTGCTATTTCTACTTTTTTTTTTTTTCCCAATTTTTCTGAAATCATGTAACTACAAAAAAACAACTAAGAATATGTATTTTGTTAATGCTGCTAAAATGTAATTTATCTCTGGGTGGGCAAATGTCTTCTTCCAAAGAATTATGAAAAAAAAAAAGTGATATAAACAAAAGTTTGTGGTATTTTTTTCTTTATTGAAAATGGTTGGAACCTTGTTCAAGTTTTAAAACATGCCTTTTGCTTTATTACTACTGTTAATGTCGTCCTACATTTTGCTAATATTCTGCCCTGCTAATGCAAATTTCATGCTAATTAATGGCTTTATGCGACTGATTGATACATATGTTTTTTGTTTCACGAGGTCCATGTCCTCCAACTTTTCTTGAAACGTTTGCAAACTTTGTTTTACATTCAGGTTTTGCTTGGGATTTATTCCCAACGAGAGAAAAGTTGTTAAATTTGTATTTTTTAGACCTAAAGTTTTATAAATCCGGTGATTTTCAGTGTGGTGGTGGCAGAAATTGTGGTTCATTAAAGCAAAACGAGGCACACCAAATGCTTTTTGTTGTCGTTCTTTCATCTTCAGTTAGAAGTGATACAAAATGCAAAAATGAAGGAGTTTTAAGTGATGGGGTGGAAGATGGATTATTATCCTCGGTAATGAGGGCGTTGCTTCGGTCAGTTGTGGTGAAGTATGAGTTTAGTTGAAAGACAAAAGCTCTGGTCTAGCCTCACCTGTGCTCATGAGGTTTAGATCATGACCAAGAGAACCATATCCTGGAAACCATGAATGGAAAGTAGCGAATTGCATTTACTCTCATGTAATTAAGTTCAGCCTGCAGCGACTGGGTTTGTGCCTTTCCAGCCCGTCGGTGATCGATCCGTTTAGAAATTATGTAAACCAACAGACCCCAAACCCCCAACTGTGTATCATTTTTGTTTTTAATTTTGTTTCACATTAGAATATCAACTTTTACTGTAAGAAATACATCTGGGAATGTAATTTATTTGAATTACACTTTCGGGTTCAGTTTATTGCATCTATGATTCAATGCAACAAAATAAACAAATTACCGTAAAAAGGTAACAATTGTAATACTTGGTTTATTGATTTAATGGTTTTAATTGCTGGATGTCTGGCCCCTGAGCTGCAGGTCTCCAGCCTCGCACGAGAGGACCTGTGTGGAAACGTGCACTTAAAGATGTACTTAAATCCATCCGGAGGACCTGACTAAACTTTGTTAGATTTTTCTACCTGGATTACTGAGCATGCATCAGGACATTCATTATTTACATTTACAAACTGGAATCTTTCAAATGATTTAAACATTTTACAGCTGTTCCTGTAATTCCAATATCATATTCAAGCCTCTGTAGCAGAATATTAATTGTTGCTGGGACTAAGCAGCCCTATAGCCCTTTATTTCAAACCCCCACCTTACACTTAATTTAACCCTAAAATTTATTTTTGCCTTTCTCCAGAAATACTGATAATACAAGCATATTACCAAAAATAAATAATTTTAAGGCATAAATCCCTCTGGCAAAGAAAAATTGCAATTTTAGGATTAGCAAAAATGCCAAAGTCTGCATGTGATGTAATTTTTTTTTGAACATAACAAACTTGTATAAAACCAAAAACTCCCCAGTTTGAGAACCAGAACTGGGAATCTGTTGCTTGCTCTCTATAAATCAAAGAAAATAAAAGTTTGAAAAACAAAGCTGGACTTCGTGCTTCCTCTAAAAAGGGCATAGTAGAGGCTTCGATATGAAAAAGAAGAAGGAAAGAAAGGGGGGAAAAAAGAAGAAATAAAATAAACTACAAGGGGTATATGTTTTAGGATTACCATGCATTAATGGACAATTACATTACATTTCATACAGGTTTTCATGTGTTTCAATATATTTCAGCGATTTCAAATATAATTGGAATTCAGATAAAAAAA